GGAAACTAACCCAACTGAAGGTTCTTTAGGAATAGTTCCATGGAACGCAATGTTCTGTCCTCACAGCAAGGCATGTCAGGCACCTCGTTGATATATCCTGTCAATACAGCAAGTTTCTAAATCTCCCAAACAAATTGTAATCTTGGCCACCGTGTAGAATGCCAGCTATTTTAGGATTGATGTATGCTTCAAACGGCTTAGCAATACTTCATCTGCAGGAGTCTAACAAGCCAAATTTTGAAATGATAAATAGTTAAGAACAGGTATGTTTCTCCATTCTTTTATAAATTTGCCCATTTTATGTCTGGTCAAGTATTGGCATGTTAGGAAACTAACCCTAATGGACGGTGGGCTCTCACTGTCATGTTTGATGAAAGACTATTAATTTTCTACTTTACTCATCCTTTATAAGGTGTGTTTACTAATGTGGAAAGTACCTGGCTGGCCATACACAGGAGTCCTTGTTGTATACTTGCTGATGGACAGAAAAGACTCCTCCCTCCTTTAATCCACCATACAATGACTGGCATGGTATTAGTGTGACAAGGTGCCATATTAAAAAAGAAAAAACAGCAGACAATAGCTGACACTCCAGGCACTATAACCAATGAGAAAAAAAATAGTGCCTGGAGTCCCCTGGTGCGGTCCTTCCATTCAGTATTAAGCCATTTTCAGGGTCACTGGAGGTGTGGCTAAGGCAGAGATTATACAATTCTAGCCATACCAATTCATACCAACAATGCACACTGTGATAGGCTAAAAGCAGTCAGCTGATACCCAGTCACTCATCCCTGCTGCTCTGTCTAATGCCTTATTATAAGCACAAAGGGGATGGACTGCTGAGAACCCCTGTTTAGCATTAAACCATTACAAATGTGTTGTAAAATAGCTAAACTCCTTACATCAGCAACATTTTTCTATGTAGATAAATTCTCCCCTTGGGGTTTGTTTTATGCAACATTGTTTTTCCCATACGGTTTGGCCTTAATAACTTCGTTTAAAAAAAAAAGCTCCCTCCCATTATCAGGAGAGCAAAGTTACAGGCCAGAGATTGATTATTTCTTGTCCTCTCTGGGAATAGAATAGGACATTCCTAATTACTGGCCCAATATTTTTCTAGGATACTCCACCCTGTGAAAATTTAAAAGAACTTAGTCAGTGTCACGGCTGCTAGTGTGGTCCAACACGCAGAAACTATGTAAACATATACATACAAAAGGAAAGGAAATAAAAGGACAGAGCGTAAACCGGACCTTAGAATGGCCAGACTAATACGCTAGAGATAGAGAATGGTCAAGGAAGCCAGAAATACCGTTTAAACAAGCCAAGACAGGGGAACCAGAATTTGGAATAACCAGGGAAAAGCCAAGATCAGGATACCAGGAAGTAATATTCACAAAGATAAACGCTCTCTAGGGAACCAGGAACAGGAAACCACGACAGGGCAAGGTACTGGGGTGAATTAGGGATTTAAATATCCCTCTCTAGGCTCTGATTGGTCAGAGGGTGACCTCTGACCCCAGAACGTGCGCGTGCGTTGACGTTGTGACGTCACGCGCACGGTCGTAAAATTTTGGGGGGTGGAGCCATGGATGGACGAGACCTCATGGTCGGTGCCATCTTGGATTTCCCCAAGCGGCGTGGAGGAACGGTTCCCGGCTCGCCGCTGAGCAGGTAAACTCAGTGAGTTGAGTCGTGCGGTCGTGCAGTTTCGTGTGTAATGAGAGGTTGAGTAAGAGGTCTCCCATCGATAGCCTCTACTAGTCTGGGTCTGTCTTTCTGCCTTAAAGGCAGAAGATGTTTGGCAGAAAATTCCTTATCAAGGAAATTCTCCGCTGCCCCAGAGTTAATCATGGCCTCACACTGAACAGTAGTTTTCTTACAAAACAGAGTGATTGTTATAAGAAAGCGGTTCTTAGTCAATTTAGGGGACATATACATAACACCTAAGGTCGGTCCCCGAACCTCTGATGTCCTCTTTTGCCACAATATAGACACAACCCCTCGTTGTGTCTGTATTGTCTCTCCGCCTCAGTCAGTTTGGTAATGCCCAATTGCATGGGTTCTGCTTCTGCAGGTGGAGCATGATTAACAGTCACTGGGTTAGAGAAACGAGGGGCTATAGACAAGTTTGTACGTCTAGTACGCAGTTTGTTTTTCTCCCTCTCTCTGAGCCTGTTGTCAATGTCAATCATGTATGCAATAAAATCATTAAGATTAACCGGAAGGTCTCTGGCAGCGGTTTCATCTTGTATATTTTCTGCTAAACCTTCCAAAAAAGCAGCCACCAAACCACTATTGGTCCAGTCAGCCTCAGAAGCTAATGTCCTGAACTCTATGGCGTAATCGGCTACAGAGCAGGTGCCTTGTTTTATTCTCATTAAGGCTCTGGCAGCGTTTTTCGGGCACGGACGCACATGGCGGCGAGCCGGGGGCCGTGATATAAGAGTCTCCTCTTACACGGCTCTAAATGTAATCTTTCCCGTGGGCTACACGAATAGCTGTCTCCTGGTGTTTTATTTGCCAATATCCTCAGCTATCATTTTGCCAGCACAATGTAAAGATGACATTTGCATACATACCTGTCTGTGGGTCACAGAGTCCCAAGAACAGCTGACAATTACAGGTTACAATTACTCATTTTAATTTCTAAAATATAAACTGTATCTCACCTCCATGAAGATCCCCAAGACTGCCAGTCCATCTGGTTTATTTTTGGCCTCGTTGATATCTGCATATTTGTCAGAATTGTAATGGACAATGTGCATCTGATAAAGAAATGTGTGTTAGCCAAACAACAATTCTTTTGTACAGAACAGTTTTTAGTTAAACTTCAAATGTACCTCTTAATTTATTTTCCATCAGACAGCACACCACCCTTTCTAATATAGAAGGACAAAGAAACAATATGATTTAATAGGTGGAATTAATCGAAGATGTTTTTAATGAACTCCAATTCCGATTTCACACAAGGTAACCAGAACTAGGTTGTATCGTAGACTCAGAAACATGATGGTAGTCAATTACATGCTGTGATCCGGTCGTCTAATGAGCTTACAATCTAATGTTATAGTAAGGCAGCCTGCTTACAATTTAGTGGTATAACAAACGCACATATACAGGTAAAATACAATATATAACAATACAAAAGGAAAGCCAATCACATAGCGTAGCTGGTATTATGCAGCTGCCTGCAAGCTATGGCTTCAGAGGTACCACATGTTTCAATGAATGAAAATAATACATTGGTAATTGGTATAAGGTGTGTCTTAAGTAACAATTTGGCATTAAAGTAATAATGTATTAAAGGCAAAGGAGCCACGTAAAACGGGGGCTTACCATCTAGGGATATAGTGTATTCAATAATCTTTCCTTTAGAACTGTGAATCATTTGGTAAATTAGAAGAGACTGTCACTAACAGACTAGTCTAGCAGCTCTTCGTTCTTCAAGGAGCTTGCAATCTAATTGGGGTAAATAAACACTGCCCAAGGGTTGTGATACGACTTTACATGAACACAGGCTGTCCCTTGGGATCTTTCGGTACTGGAGTCTGCATGTGGCATGTTATTGTACTGAGGGTATGGGCCTGTGAATCAGATTTTGCTGACACTGCTGGCTGGGTGATTAATGTGCTTTTATTTCATCGCTCTGAGCAGTATGTGGCCTCTGACAGCAGAGTTTGAAGCGTGAGAGCTCCTGCAGGATCTGGCTGCCCCTATAATCCCAGGACTAAAACCTCTGGGTTAAGAAAATCAAATAATGAGACAGAGAGAGACCCACTGGGTTTTAACTCTGTGAGGACCAGATGCCAAACGAAGGTCAAGTAGCAAGGCACAAAATGGTCTCATGAGAATCATGACCAGATAAAGGTCCACATTGCTGGCCAGATTCTGTCTTGTCAGTGGGGCTCCTTGGGCCTTTCCATGGGACACGCAGCAAACCACAACCTACCTACTGCAATAACCACTCTTTGTAAGGTCTATGTAACTGCCCTGCCCTTCTCTGAGGGGCAGGCGATGCGCAAGGCCTAACCTCTTCAAGACGCACAGAGTGGTCAGTTTCTTATTGTGTGGGATAATAAAGAGTCATCATCAGTTACTGTGCGAGATAAACGAGGCAACCACATGTCCCAATGTCCACAGAAAACTGATTGCATTAGGGCAAGTTTTACTCATAAGCCTAAACAACCACAATTATAAAAATTATTAGACTGTGACTTCATGGATCCTAGTTTTCTTACAAAATACTATCTTATAGACTGTTTTATCCACATCGCCCTGCTGTAAGCTGTTCCAGGCTTCTCCATCTACATTGCTGAATAAAGATAGATCTGCAGTGAGAATATACCGTTAGATGGGGTCAGCCCTTAAATGACACATATAGAATGTCACAGGTGCTTTTAGCGACACTAGTACTGCTTTCATAAGAGCACAGGATCACTACGGCATTATTCATTGTTCTTACTAGGGTTAGGATTGCAATCACAATGTGGGGAGATGGAACAGACCCTCTGAGCCAGATAAGATAGAACCTAAAACCTCCTCTGTGTCCACACTAGTTAAGGGGTAACAATGCTGTACCTCCTTTTTGTAAAGTCTATACCCCATGCTTTAAAGGTAGATGTCATTTTAAAGTGAGGCAAATGAGGTCAATGTGAAGTTCTGAGCAGTGGAAGCAGACAAATATTTATTATGAAAAACAGTTTTAATTTACTTTCTATCATGCAGCAAATGAGCAACCTTTTTAAATCCCCAATATTTGACCTTAATATTGCACTTATCAGATGTTTACCACTGTTTGCTGTACCTCTGTTCTTGGGGTGCTTGGACACCCTTTGGTATTTACTGCAAACTTCCACACACACATTTAAGGAACATTGCATGGATTAGACAAATATAACCAAGAGCCGATTGACACAGATCAGATTCTAGAACTCCCCTCACCTATATATATGGACTATCCACTTGTACAACATATAGAAAATAAGGGACTGTTGTTTGTTACATAACAAAGTCCCTCAGTGATTTATATAATATATTTACATTAGACATATACACAAAAATTGCTTTAAATCGGTTGTTTTTTTTAAACTGATTTAATTCTAGAACGGTTTAATTCTAGAACGGTTGCTTATCAGATCCCATCTCTCTATTCAAAAATCCTTTGCTTGCTGAGGATGGTGAGAATTGCAGTGTTACTTACAGAGTGTGTCTAGACATCATTCAGTTTGCCTCTTTAATATTCTACAGCAAAGATCTAATTAATAACAGAAAGCACATGACAGATTATCAGCCTAAGAGTCTGGCAGGGTACGAATATCTCACTGGGTTTATTACGTAGAACCAGAGGAGAAAGCATGTGAGGCTTTAAAACGGCTCTGTAACAAAAAATAAACTATATCTAATCTGCTTCTACATACCGCTCTGTGCCTATACACCGCTCTGTGCCTATACTTGTTTGTTTTTTGAGTGTTCAAGTTTTTATAAAATACATTAAAAAAACAGGAATACATCTCTCTTATGTATAGGTGATAAAACAATGGGCATGGCTTACAGGACCACTCCACAGCCATAGAGCACTTCAGCTCACTCTCTACCCCCATATAGTGTTTTGTTAGGCAAGCAAGCAGAATGACACAAGCTATGCTAAAACAGCAGAGAGACACAGGGATGTTAGTTTGGGTATTGTGGAGAATTTATAAGGCAAATGCAGGATATAAAACTAAATGTAATAAGAGGGATTTGTGGCACTAGTTTGTATAACACCTAGAGATGCTTAAAGGGACACTACATGCACCCAGACCACTTGATCTCATTGAAGTGGTCTGGGTGCAATGTCCCTGTCCCATTAACCTTACAGCTGAAATCATGTCGTTTTAGAGAAATGCAATGTTTACCTTGCAGGGTTAAGACTTACTGGCTGTTTAACTCTAGGAAACGACTCTGGACATCCTCACACTTTGCATGATGATGTCCAGCAAAACCCCATAGGAAAGCATTGACTCAATGCCTTACTATGGAGAAGGCCTAGTGCGTGTGCGGAGTTAGGTTACCCATCATGCTGACATAAGAGGAGTTGGAGATGGAATTAGGTAAGTGTTTAAAGCATTTTTAACAGATAGGCTTACTATAGTGTTCAACATACAAAAACTGTATTCCTTACACTATTGTGTTCTTTCAAAACATCAATTGTAACGTCACCTCTTACACTAAAAATAAAATAACCACTGTGTTTGCCATCATCTAATTACATGCGTATATAGTTACCAAGTGTAGTTATGAAGGTTACGGACAAAAAAAAAAATATTTTATCCTGGAACAAAGATATAAAAAGACCATTGATTGCTTGTCAGACTACACTACGATTTGTCTTTCTAGATTTTTGCTATAGCATATTTTTTCCATAATCTTCATTACTACACTTGGTAACTAAAACCACTGTGTGCCCTATCATCTAGTTGTGTGTATTACTGCAGAATTCCAGGATGGAACTATATCTTAGAATTTTATTATGATGGCCTAAATTCTTGGTTTAGGGATTAAACCCAAAATACATCAGAAGACAGCTAGCGACTCATATATAAAGATCAGGGCTGGTTTTACATCTCAGGCATTTCCAGACACCAGTTTCCTAGGCACCCCTATTGTTACCCCAAAAATCTTTTTTTCTGTTGCTTCCTTTGTGACCAACATTTGGAATAATATGAGATGAGCTGTTATAATTCCATGTTACCTGGAAGGTGTGCACTTACCTCTGCAGGAAAGGCTTTACTGTCAATCTGGTGCTCGGATCCAAATGGATGGGAGCTGCTACCCCAGTGCAAGTGGAGCTGGACGGCTGTGAAATTGTGAGGAAGACCTCTGAGGTGCATAGACGGAGACAGCATGAGCACCACTGGAAGAGAACACAGGGCAAGGATATTAGTACATAATGGAGATCCTCCAATCACTGGACCTGTAGCCTTGAAAGATTGAGCTGGACTATTTACTAAACGGTTACAGTTAGGTGATCAACATTAAAAACTATATTGTGTTTCTTATACATTTAATTGAGATGTGTAACACAATTGTAAGCACCTTTAGATAACATGTCGACTTCAAATATATATATATAGTCACATTGATATACTATAATGAAATGATACTTTAACACACCCACCTATTTCTCCACTTTATTTCACTTTCCTCAAATTAACATCGCTCCTCTGTATCCAATATACTTTTTTTACACTCCTATTTCATCCCTAGCTGCTTCTTGTACCATCTCTCTCCATTCTTCCACCTCATTAGTCACAACCCCGCCACTAATGATTCCCCATCGTCCCCTGAATACAGTGAGGGGGGAAAGTATTTGATCCCCTGTTGATTATGAAATGATCAGTCTATAATTTTATTGGTAGGTATGTTAACAGTGAGAGACCGAATAACAAACTAAAAAAAAACAAAACCAAGAAAAACGCATTTCAAAAAAGTTATAAATTGATTTGCATGTCAATCCGTGAAATAAGTATTTGATCCCCTATCAATCAGCAAGATTTCTGGCTCCCTGGTGTCTTTTATACAGGTAACGAGTTGAGATTAGGAGCAATCTCTTCAAGGGAGTGCTCCTAATCTCAACTCGTTGCTTGTATAAAAGACACCTGTCCACAGAAGCAATCAGATTCCAAACTCTCCACCAAAGAGCTGTCCAAGGATGTCAGGGACAAGATTGTAGACCTACACAAGGCTGCAATGGGCTACAAGATCATCGCCAAACAGCTTGGTGAGAAGGTGACAATAGTTGGTGCGATTATTCGCAAATGGAAGAAACACAAAATAACTGCCAGTCTCCCACGGTCCGGTGCTCCATGCAAGATCTCACCTCGTGGAGTTTCAATGATCATGAGAACGGTGAGGAATCAGCCCAAAACTACATGAGAGGATCTTGTTAATGATCTCAAGGCAGCTGGGACCACAGTCACCAAGAAAACAATTGGTAACACACTACGAAGTGAAGGACTGAAATACTGCAGAGCCCGCACATGCACAGGCCCATCTGTAGTTTGCCAATGAACATCTGAATAATTCAGAGGAGAACTGGGTGAAAGTGTTGTGGTAAGAGGAGACCGAAATTTAGCTCTTTGGCATGCAGAGGGAACTTGCTGGCATTTCAGATCTGGACTTCCCATACGGGTGGGACCAGTCTGATATGCTTCACATATGTTCTCTCTGTAATGGCACTAGATGAGCTAAAACCAGGATAACTGAGTTGTCTGTTCTCACTACTTGCTACTTGTTTTTTTTTCTCTCCTTTGGCCTCAACTCAACATGTTTGGAGGAGGAGGAATGATGCCTATGACCCCAAGAACACCATCCCCACCGTCAAACATGAAGGTGTTTTTCTGCTAAGAGGCAGAACAACTGCACCGCATCAAAGGGACAATGGACGGGGCCCATGTACCATCAAATCTTGGGTGAGAACCTACTTCCCTCAGCCAGGGCATTGAAAATGGGTCGTGGATGGGTATTCCAGCATGACAATGACCCAAAACATATAGCCAGGGTAACAAAGGAGTGGCTCAAAAAGAAGCACAGTCCTGGAGTGGACCTTAATCCCATAGAAAATCTGTGGAGGGAGCTGAAGATTCGAGTTGCCAAACGTCAGCCTCAAAACCTTAATGACTTGGAGAGGATCTGCAAAGAGGAGTGGGACAAAATCCCTTGTGAGATGTGTGCAAACCTGGTGGGCAACTACAAGAATCGTCTGACCTCTGTGATTGCCAACAAGGGTTTTGCCACCAAGTACTAAGTTGAAAGGGGTCAAATACTTATTTCACTCATTGACGTGCAAATCAATTCATAACTTTGACATGCGCTTTTCTGTTTTGTTTTTTTGTTGTTGTTATTCTGTCTCTCACTGTTAAAATACACCTACCATTAAAATTATAGATTGAGCATTTCTTTGTCAGTGGGCAAATGTGCAAAATCAGCAGGGGATCAAATACTTTTTTCCCTCACTGTACCTATCCTTTTCCGTGCTTTACACACACAGCTCATTTTCATTTGTTGTTCCCATGGCAGCAACTCCTGACAGTGCCTCGCTCTATCCTCCTTCCAAAAGGACTTTTGGCTAACAAAGATCTCTTCTCATTCTCCTCCTCAGCCAAGACCAACCAGCAAACATTATTTAACAAGTCTATTCCATTAACATCTGTGCCCAGCTAACTTTACCGTGACCCCCTCCATGCTTACATTATAAAATCCCTGAAAACAAAGAGCTATGCTATAATTCTGAAATTACTAGACCCAGGAGTAACACTTCTCCTGCAAACTAAATGCGCAGTAGACAATTTTAAATCTCACTGTCCCCCGTGTGACTTATACACTTTGTAAACAGACTCCATTTTAAGTAAAATAAGAAAATTAACATTTACCTGATCCTAGAAAAACAGTCTATATTCAAAAAGTATTATTTTTGACTATTCATTTGATACTACGAACAATATATGTTTAACATCTATAACTTTATATGGACACCTACAGGCTCCATGTATTAAAAGTAAAAGTAATAAAAGCACAAATACACAGAAGGGTACATCATGTTTTCTCTAGTTTTAAAATACATGCTAGTGTACAAGGTTATTACAGTCCAATTTAAAAGGACACAATAGTCATCAAAACAACGTTAGCTTAATGAAGCAGTTTTGGTGTATAGATCATGCCATTGCAATCTCACTGCTCAATTCTCTGCCATTTAGGAGTTAAATCGCTTTGTTTATGCACCTCCCTGCACGTGACTAACACAGCCTTCCTAAACACTTCCTGTTAAGTGTCATCTAATGTTTACACTTCCTTTATTGCAGATTTTGTTTAAATTTAGAATTTCTTATCTCCTGCTCGGTTAATAGCTTGCTAGACCGTGCAGGAGCCCCTTTGTGTGATTAAAGTTTAATTTACAGAGTAGGAGATATAAACTTTCAAAGTAAATTACATGTGATTGAAAATAAAACCTTTTTTTTCATGCTGGCTGTGTCAGTCACAGCCAGGGGAGGTGTGGCTATGGCTGCATAAGCATAAACAAAAGTAATTTAACTGCTAAATGGCAGAGAATTAAACAGTGAGCCTTCAGGGGTATGATCTATACACCAAAACTGCTTAAATAAGCTAAGGTTGTTTTGGTGAATATAGTGTCCCTTTAACACGTAGAACTGAAGAATAAGAAATTAAGTCTATCCCATGTTGTTCGCTGGATGCATGCTTGCAGAGAGTGAAAATGCAACAAATGCTGGTTTAGACTACCACTTCTATGATGATAAAACCCAGATGTACCTATTGCTTAAACCAAAGAAAAACAGTCCCATATTAAAATGGTAAACAACTGTCTGATCCATCTCCTGGGATGAATGAATTCCGACTGGTCTTAGCTCAGCCTGGATAAACCCTGGATCTTACTTCTACATGCAAGACACCACATCATGATAAGACGAAGCTGCTTGCCTGATCTTGATACAATTACATACCAAATGGTTTGTTCACGAAACACGAGTATAACCCTTATGTGTCCCTCAATAGGAAAGAATAAAGGATCTTAACATGTATAGCTTGGAGGAAAGACGAGACAGGGGGGATATGACAGAAACATTTAAATACATAAAGGGAATCAACACAGTAAAGGAGGAGACTATATTTAAAAGAATAAAAACTACCACAACAAGAGGACAGTCTTAAATTAGATGGACAAAGGTTTAAAAATAATATCAGGAAGTATTACTTTACTGAGAGGGTAGTGGATGCATGGAATAGCCTTCCAGCTGAAGTGGTAGAGGTTAACACAGTAAAAGAGTTTAGGCATGTGTGGGATAGGCATAAGGTTATCCTAACTATAAGATAAGGCCAAGGACTAATGAAAGTATTTAGAAAATTGGGCAGACTAGATGGGCCGAATGGTGCTTATCTGCCGTCACATTCTATGTTTCTATGTTTCATAGATGCAAAAATTGAGAGGTATGAGCTTGGAAGGGGGTGGCCAGACTGGTGGAATAAGGGAAGGACTGCAGGGGAAAGGGTCTTGTGAGCCAGGTGTGAATGTTCTTACTGACTGACTCAATGGTCAGTCCCAATTAGGAATGAACATGAGCAGATTTGAGATGCCAGGAAACAAAGCTGGAACAGCAGTATAGAAACATGAAACCACGACTGGCCCATTTGCTCCAGGATGGTTGGTAGGCAGACAGTCCGTTATAATAAAGTCCTCTCTTTCCACACGAAAGCCTGGGATTAAAGGGACACTTTAAACCCTAAAGGACACATGACGTGTGACATGTCATGATTCCCTTTTATTCCAGAAGTTTGGTCCTTAAGGGGTTAAAGGGTTACTCCAACCATCATAATGATGGTTTGGTTGTGATGTTAAAAGTACCCTGGCTCATACCCTTGTAATGGGAAAACCATTTTGCAATGGTTTGTCTTCTTACTTGGGGTCCCACGAGGCGCCAAGGGTCTCTTCCTGCAGTTGGTGATGACATCCAGCTTCTGCAAAGCTGTAGAAGCCGGATGCTGATCCCAATCCCAACAGTCATTGAATGATGCCCTGTGCACAGAAATATGCACAGTATGGTTATCAGTTAGTCTGGAACCATTTATATATCATATTAAAGTAAATTGATCACTTTTTATTATTTCATGAAAAGATTACATGTCATATAGCCTTACTGAGTATTGTTTTTGCAATAAATACATAAAAGGTAACTTAATTTTCTGACTTGCTCAGTGGGGTCAGCGTCAGCCAAATATAACCCTCTTTAGTCAGAAGTACCACTTATCTCCTAAGAATGAGACAGTCACTAGAGGCTTTGAGGGCTGGATTAACCCATTTATAAACATAGCAGTTTCTCTGAAACTGCTATGTTTATAAAAAAAAAAAAAAAAAAAAGGGTTAATCCTAGAGGGGCCAGGCACCCAGACCACTTTATTAAGTGGTCTGGGTGCCTAGAGTGGTCCTTTAAAGGAGCACTATAGTGCCAGGAAAACAAACTCATTTTCCTGGCATTATAGGGTCATTAGGTCCCTCCCACCCTCAGCGCTGAATGGGTTAAAACCCCTTCAGCCACTTGCCTTTCTCCAGCACCGGGCTCCCTCTATGCTGGGAAACTCTCCACCCCCTGCAGATGTCAGATCCGAATGCGCGACAAGAGCCGCGCATGCATTCAAACAGCCCATATGAAAGCATTATTCAATGCTTTCCTATGGACAGCAGCGTCTTCTCACTATGATTTTTGCAGTGAGAATCACCTCTAGCGGCTGTCATTAAGACAGCCACTAGAGGCTGGATTAACCCTCAGTGTAAACATGGCAGTTTCTATGAAACTGCTGTTTTCAGCTGCAGGGTTAAAACTAGAGAGAGACCTGGCACCCAGACCACTTCATTGAGCTGGGTGCCTATAGTGGTCCTTTAACTTATAAGTATGCATTGCAGAATAATAAACAGAGGCTATAATACATGTGATCTTTTATTTTTACTGTTAATTCAAATAATGACGGTTTTCTTTGATGGTGAACTAAGGAAGTAAATGGCAGTGCCCCACTAATGCCCTCTTAATAGAAAAATAAGTGGATTTGTGGGGTGCTGTTCTAAATATAAATACAACACAATTCACTGTTTAAACCAATAACTTTTAATGCTATATTCTCAATTACAATTTTCTTTGTAATTAGTCTGCAATTTATTACTTTGCAGGGAGTGTTAGCGTTTTAGTATCGCAACGTCTGGTTACAGCAATTATCTCATTCAAACCTCGCTGATGAAGCAAATTGTACAGCTCATCTCATTCTGATGAGTCAACGGAAAGATGAGTGCCTCTTTTCACATAAACGCAGGCCTAGTGTCCTGTGCATATGATGTGGAATGGGCTTGTAAAACAAAGTGATAATACAAATCATTTACATCAGTGTGGCTGAATCTGTTGCTATGGAAACATCACATTAAAATTCAGGCCTTGCTTTACTCATTAATCACACGGGGTGCAACAACCAGGGAAGAGTGAAGCATGACAACATACAGGGCTAAAATATATATATATAAACAAAAATAAAAATTGACGCCAACAATTTGCACCCAGGCATGTGAGTTAAAAATTTATATTTTTTTGGAGGTGAGTGCCAAGCGTTCACCTATATATATATATATATATATAGAGAGAGATAAATTTACTCATACTTACCGTAATTTTCTTTTCCTGGTCATAGGCCATGGCAGCACAACAATGGGTAGCTCCTCCCCTATCCCTAGTTAGACAGGAACCAATTAAAACAAGGGTACAAATACCCCCTCCTACCTCCTCCTCCCTCAGTCTAGTTAACAGCAATATCCCTGGCCTTTGTGCTGCCATGGCCTATGACCAGGAAAAGAAAATTACGGTAAGTATGAGTAAATTTATCTCTTTCCTGGCCATATCCATGGCAGCACAACAATGGGTAATACCCAAGCTAAAACCAAGGGAGGGAAAGAAAAACTCAGACACATTATTAAATAATGCAAGTGTATTGTCACAAACAACTCAATGTGATAAACAAAAAGAATAGTAGTTAGTCTTATGAGGCAGAAAGAACTGATCTGCCAAATCCATCGTATTGGCCAGCTCTTACATCTAAACGATAATGTCTAATAAATGTATTAGAAGATGACCAAGTGGCTGCTTTGCAAATCAGTTCTGTAGAAACCTTTGCTGCAGCTGCCCAGGATGAAGAAAGGGAACGTGTAGAGTGAGCCTTCAAACCTTCAGGAACACTAGTTTTAGATGACCTATAAGATTGGATAATGGCCGAAACTATCCATCTGCTGATAGTGGCTTTTGAAGCTTGCAGACCCTTCCTAGGGCCATTAGGAATAACAAAGAGCCTTTCCGAAATTCGCCATTCTGAGGATCTCTGTATATAAATCTTAAGGCATCTTACTAGGTCGATAGCATCATCATCAGCGTTTTCCCTGTTATTAGATTCTTCTGTGCTTAATGCTGGAAGGATTATCTCTTCATTCATATGGAACTCTGAAGTCACCTTTGGGCGGAATTCTGGAACCGTTCTTAGGATGACTCTGTCCTTATGAAATATCGTAAAAGGTTCTCGAGCCGAAAGAGCCTGGAGATCAGAAACCCTTCTACCAGAGGCTAGTGCTACTAGTAGAACTGTCTTGATCGTGAGAAGATGACAGGAAATTGATGTCATAGGTTCAAAAGGATCTGCTTTAAGAGCCTTCAGGACCAGAGGGAGATCCCATGGCGGAGTAATAGACTTAATGGGAGGCTTGATCTTGAGGACTGCAGTCAGAAATCTAGCTATGTCCGGATCCAGTGCCCATCTATGATTAGTTAAAGCAGAGAGGGCAGAAACATGCACCTTTAGAGTGTTATAACTCAATCCCTTCTCTAGACCTGATTGTAAAAAATCAAGAATGTCAGTAGTCGAAGGGTTCAACATATCAAAGGGCCTTGAACTGGCCCATGAAGAAAATACATCCCATATTCTGTAGTAAGTGGATGAAGTAGACTTCTTCCTTGCTTGAAGAAGTGTCTCGATAACTGCTCTTGAAAATCCCTTGTTCTTTAACCCATCCCTTTCAAGTACCATGCCATCAGACGAAGGGATGCTGGGTTTGGATGGTGAATCGGACCCTGATGTAACAGGAATGGGACAACTGGAAGGCGCCATGGATCCTTCTTGCACAGACTTAGTAGGAGCGGAAACCAAGGTCTGCGAGGCCAAAAAGGGGCTATTAGAATCAGTGATGTCTTCTCTTGTCGTAGTCTCCTTAGCAGAGGGAAGATGAGGGGTTTCGGAGGAAAGGCATAAGCCAGGTCGAAGTTCCAACTGCATGTCAATGCGTCTCTTCCTATGGCCTGGGGATCTAGAATTCTCGAAAAGAAGTTCTTGACTTTTCTGTTGTTGCTTGTAGCCATTAGATCTATCTGGGGAAGGCCCCATTTTTCTACGATCTGCAGAAATATTATGTCTGATAGACTCCATTCTCCCGGGTCTAATTTCACCCTGCTGAGAAAGTCTGCCACCGAGTTCTGAGTTCCTGGGAGATGTATTGCAGAGATATTCTCCAAGTTCATTTGAGCCCAGGCCATCAAAGGTTTCATCAGTTTCATCATTCTGCAACTTCTTGTTCCTCCTTGGTGATTTATATATGCCACAACAGTGGCATTGTCTGTCCTGATCTTGACCCATTTGTGAAGTAAAAGCTGCCGGAAGTGCATTAGAGCCTTGAAAACTGCCAGAAGTTCTAGAAGATTCGAAGGGGTGTCGGAGGTTGAAAATGCCCATTTCCCCTGAACATAGTTGTCTTGAAGGTGGGCTCCCCAGCCCCATTGACTGGCATCTGTGGTGATGATGATCCATGGAATGTTTCCTAAGGGATAACCTCTGAAGAGAGACTCTTTGTGGGTCCACCACTTGAGGGATTCTTGTACGTGAGGAGGGATCATTATAGGTTGAGACAGATTGCCCTTGAATTGAGAAAGGAAATTCTTTTGGAAAGGCCTCATTCTCCATTGAGCCCATCTTGTAAGTCCTATAGTGGAGGACATTGATCCCAGGAGGCTCATGATTGTCTCTGCTGAGGAAACACTGGATGCCAACATGTTTTTGACCTTTTCCCGAATTTTCATACCCCTTTCTGGGGATAGTTGGACGGACCCCTCTGCAGTGTTGAATGCTGCTCCTAGATATATCATGTTCTGGGATGGTTTTAAGTTGCTTTTGGCAAAATTGATCTTCCATCCGTGTTGTTGAAGATACTGTATACATATCAGGCCGTGATCTTCTAATATTTCTCTGTTTTCTGCCAGAATCAGGATGTCGTCGAGGTAGTGATATACTGCAATGCCTTTCTTCCTGAGTTCTGCGATGAGAACCACCAGAACTTTTGAGAAAGTACGTGGAGCAGTGCTTAGCCCAAAGGGGAGAGCACGGAACTGAAAATGCCCCTCTTCCACAGCGAATCTGAGGAATCTTTGATGCTGGGGTGCTATGGGAATATGGAAATATGCATCTGCCAGGTCTATTGACATGAGCCATTGATTTGGAAAAACTGCTTTTACAATGGATTGAAGAGACTCCATCTTGAATTTCCTTATGTTTAGGAACTTGTTTAGTCGGCTTAGGTCTAATATAGGTCTCCATCCTCCTGTGGATTTTCTGGTGAGGAAGATATGGGAGTAAAACCCGTATGTTTGCTGAGCTCTTGGAACTTGAACGATGACTCCATCGTCTTGAAGGGATGAGATAAACTTTTTTAGGGAATCTCTTTTTTCTGCATCTCTCGGCCAGATTGTCTTCTGGAAGGAGCGAGGTGGCGGCCTTGTGGAGAATTCTATAAGATATCCTCTTTGTATGATATCCAGCACCCATCTGTCTTGAGTTGAATTTTTCCACATATTCTGGAAAAGTAGTAGACGGGCACCTACTCCTCCAGAATGGTAAGTGGGTTTGTCACAAAGGCTTCTTGTGAAATGAGGAACCTCTAGACTTTCCTCCTCTGTTGGATGAATGTCCGCCTCTCCATGGAATAGACCTTCCATATTCTCTTCCCGGTTTATAAGATCTGGTATCGCGAAAGGAGGGGTACTCAGAGTATCTTCTGGCTCGAAAGGATCCACGGGTTTTCCGGTCTTGTGGAAGAAAGGCTTTTTTACCTTCTGCAGCTCTTTTGATGCACTCGTTTAGGTTTTTACCAAACAACATCTCACCATGAAAAGGAAGGGCGCATAGACTAGACTTTGATGATGAATCTGCGGACCAGGATCTCAACCATAAAGCTCTTCTAGCTGAAATTGAAAGAGCCATATTCCTTGCTAAGGCTTTCACCATGTCTACCGAAGATTCTGACGTAAAGTCAACGGCCAGTTTAATATCATTTAATCTTTCCAGAAGAGAAGATCTGTTCTCCCATCTCTGATATCCTCTTCCAAGTTTTCGATCCAGATTTTCAAGGCCCTGGACACTGAAGTAAGGGCTATTGCAGGGTGAAAACCAGTCCCTGCTGCAACATAAGCCTTTGAGAGATGCAGATCCATCTTCTTGTCCATTGGGTGTCTAAATGAGCCTGCATCATCTACTGGTAATGTGGTATGTTTTGCAAGTCGAACTACTGCCGCATCCACCTTAGTGGCATTATCCCAATGGTATGAATCAGATTTGTCAAAAGGATAGAGGCGAGAAATTCTGCCTTGTGCTGAAAGCTTCTTATCTGTATTAGACCATTCGTCTTTAATTAATTCCTTAATAGTATCATGCACTGGAAAGGTTGCTCTTTTCTTTCTCAAGTCTGAGAAATAACGATAAGAGGTTGACTGTTCTGCAACTGCCTCTCTTAAGCTCAAAGATTTACAGACTTTGTAAATGAGGTGGTCTATCTGAGCAGGTTCTAGAAAATCTGCAGGGGCCTGAGTTTCTTCTTCGTCTGAAGATAAGAAATTCCCCTGGTATGATTCCATATCCATGGATTCATCTGACGAATCATGATGTTGGTAATCCGAAGGTTCATGTAACCGGGGTCTTTTGTGACTTGCCCCTGCTTCTTTGATACCTTGAGCCACTGCTTGTTTTATGAATTGTACAAATTCCATTGAAGGATTAGATGTTCCAGCTGCTTCAGATAAACATTCTGCACATAACCGTTTGCCCTCCAGCGTTTTTTTATTACAGGCTTCGCATTGATTTTTCTTTGGAGATTTTCCTTTGGATGGCGCTTAAATAGGCGTGTGACGTCATATCTGACGTCACCGCCTATTCGCGCATGCTCAGAACGAGCGAATTCACCGCTCGCCAACTGCGCATGCGCGGCACAAACCCGGAAGCAACCTCCTAGCCGGAGGCACCCTTGCTGCAGCCGGAACCCAAGCGCCGGTTTAGGCGCGCGCAAGGACATAGCGTGCACGCGAAACTGGCGTGCACGCGAAGCTAATGTGCCCGTGAACGAGCGGGCACGCGCGAAAACGGCGCACATGCGCCCCAGGAGTTCCAGGACGCCGGGAAGGCTAGTGTGATACCTTGAGCCACCAAAAAGTTAGAGAAAGAAAGGTACAAAGCAATCAAAGGTAGGGGGGGGAACCCCACACATATGTAATTAACAGAATATATGCAGAAAGTATTTGTTTAGATAATCTCACTGTTTTCATACATACATGTGGGGTTTTGTACTTCAATGTAGAAATCCATCCACTTCCTGCTACCTCTTGGTCACTGCAGGGAATCAGAATTATTTGGCATTTATTTTCTCTTGCTACCCCTAGGGTCACTGCAAGTAGGACCCCCGGTCACTAAGGGGGTATCTTCAGGAGGACACCTTTGCACAGGGCCGGATACTGAAGTTTCCCAAGGAAGAGAGGCTGAACTTCCTTGGGGGTAGAAGGTAAAAACCCTCAGGTAAGCCATAAAAGAAAAGTGATTATAGTCCTAAAATAGACTAATTTGGTCCTACAGGGATAGGACAGGAACAAAAAGACTGAGGGAGGAGGAGGTAGGAGGGGGTATTTGTACCCTTGTTTTAATTGGTTCCTGTCTAACTAGGGATAGGGGAGGAGCTACCCATTGTTGTGCTGCCATGGATATGGCCAGGAAAGCGCAAATTCAAGGTTTTGTTTACGTTTGTGTCACAACTTGTACAATTGGCTCAGTCCTTAAGGGGTTAATATTAACTATAGCTTTTCTACACCATATAGGATATAGTATAAATTGCAGTATAGACTGCAGATGGTGGAACACATAACTGTCTGTGAGAATTAAATTTTTTTTAAATTAGCAATTAGCATTTTCAACAAACCACAGTATTAAATAACCCTGCACGTGTTATGCACTATCATTGGCAAACTACGTTTTATAATTTCAATGTAGCTAATTTTGCCTTCACAGTGCCATAAAGACAGCATTACAATATCCATATAATATCTATGTTCCTATGTGTACTTTTACAGGATCCATACATTTGCGAGAAGTATAACTACATAAAGTTCTACAAATACTGCATGAGCAGGTGCAATCATCAAGATTGCATTTGTAAATGTGTTTTGTGTATTTTATGTAATATTTCAGCAGAAGATGCCAACTTTGATAACATTATTCATGTTATGTTTATACTGACAGATCATTGAGCAAAGAAAAATAAATTGAGCAGACTTATGCAATACTTGATAATTCAACAACTGAAGATTCATTCTGCTATGAATATATGAATAGAAAAAAAAATGTCTGAATCTCTTCTTGATTGTAATCTACCGAAAGTCTAGAAATAGTCACATACAATGTAGCTCTATTTTTATGTAATAATGCATCTTTATTTTTTAGTAACTATCTGTTAATTGTGATTTCCATTATGAATTACTTTTTTGTGCTAGATATAAATGCCAAGAATATTATGTAGCAAAGTATATTATTTGTTGTCTTCATTATATTTTAATTTTGCATTTGAATAACCATGGCAAGTGCTCTCCTTAAAGGAACACTCCACTGAAAATATATACTTAGTAGATATACCCCCCAAAAAACATGTATGTATTATTTTCTGTGTGTTTCCTTTGTGGGTATACAAGAGCTGCACAATTTGCAGGGGCATCTCATTGAGAAGTGATCACAAGTCTCCCATGATTCTCAATGAGATCTAGTATAGCTCATTGGAAGAGGACAGACAGCATGCGCATGGTAGCCCGCCGGCCTTGCTGCTTCCTTGAGCTGCGTGGAGGCATTTGAGCAGTTTTCAGAAAGTGAAAGCTGATTTTAAATTTTTTTAAATCTTCACTTTTTTTTTTTGTCATAAATAGGAAATGCTTTATGTGTCTTTAGTGTTAATTTAAATCAACATTTAGGTGTGAAGACTTTTTTTGTGTTAAGACAGACGGACGGATGGACGGACAGACACAGACAGACAGAGCAAAACAACTAACAATAAATACATCCACCTACCTTAAATCCTCATATAAATGTAAGTTTGTTTACGCTGCACTTTCTTTACCTCACACATATCCTTTGCAAAACGTTGCAGAATATGTTGGGGCTATATAATTGCTAATAATGATAGATTTATTTATGCTTAAACCTTTTTTATACTTCTTTTAAATTTGTATTAAAGGTTTAGAAAATTACCATCAGAATCCAGTTCTGTCCACACACAGCAATAGAATACAGTCAGGGCTGGTGCTTCCATAAGGCAGCACAGATGACTGCCTTAGGGCGCCCAGGTAATGCTTCTTGTAGCGTGACTGAGCACAAGCACCTCCGTGTGGCACAGCACCCTATTATGCACATGCTGCAGGCTATATTGAGGGAGTGGGAAGCACACCATGCAGCTCATGCCTAGTGATAGAGCTGGACTGCAAGATGGGTCTCCACAGGTCAGAACCAGACAGCATGCTTCCCAGGGTTGAGATGTAAGCAGTGGCGTACTAAGGGGGGGGCGGGGGAGGCGGTCCACCCCAGGTGCCAGCAGGGTGGGGGGTGCCTCTGCAGAGAGCCTCAGGCGGCTGCGGCTTTGCCCGCCCGGGCGCAGCCTGAGGAGAGGGGCTGACAGGGGGAAGCACTCAGCGCTCCCTCCTGTCACTCCCTCAGTTGTAGCATGGCCGAGTCCTCTATTGGTCCGCGGGTACAGGGAGCTTTGGTTTCCTGTACCCGGCCGGACTAACAGGAAGTGCGCACTCAGTGTGCACTTCCTGTTAGTCCGGCCGGGTACAGGAAACCAAAGCTCCCTGTACCTGCGGACCATAGACAGCTCGGCCACGCTACAACTGAGGTGGGGGGGATAAGGAGAGATGGGTGGGGTGGAATAAGGAGAGATGGGGTGGAATAAGGAGAGAAGGAGAGATGGGGTGGAACAAGGAGAGATGGGGGCTGGAACAAGGAGAGATGGGGAGGAATAAGGAGAGATGGGGGTGGAACAAGGAGGGGGGTGGAATAAGGAGAGATGGGGCTGGAATAAGGAGAGATGGGGGCTGAATAAGGAGATGGGGTGGAAGGAGAGATGGGGCCAGGACAAGGAGAGATGGGGGGCTGAACAAGGAGATGGGGTGGAATAAGGAGAGATGGGGCCAGAATAAGGAGAGATAGGGGTGGAATAAGGAGAGATGGGGGAATAACAAGGAGAGATGGGGGGGCTGAAGGAGAGATGGGGCTGGAATAAGGAGAGATGGGGTGGAATAAGGAGAAATGGGGGCTGGAATAAGGAGAGATGGGGGGTGGAGAGAATGGGGGCTGGAAGGAGAGATGGGGGTGTGGAATAAGGAGAGATTGGGGTGGAATAAGGAGAGATTGGGGTGGAATAAGGAGAGATGGGGTGAATAAGGAGAGATGGGGGAATAAGGAGAGATGGGGAGGGGGGAATAAGGAGAGATGGGAGGGGGGAATAAGGAGAGATTGGGAGGGGGGAAGGAAATTGGAGAGGGGGGATAAAGAAAGAAATTGGGAGGGGGAAGGAAATTGGAGGGGGATAAAGAAAGAAATTGGGAGGGGGGAGAGAGAAGGAAATTGGAGGGGGGGAGAGAAGGAAATTGGAGGGGGGGAGATTGACATTCACCACACACAATGCACCCCTTGCACACAGAAAAACACACAATGCATTACACACACTGCATTACACACACAGACACACATACACAAGCAATGCAACCGTTACACACAATGCATCCCTTACACACACAGAAACACACAATGCATTCATTACACACACTCAATGCACCCCTTACACACACTCAATGCATCTCGTACATACACAGAAACACACCTTGCAGCCCTTACACATACAAACACAGATTCACACAATGCATTCTTTACACACATATCAGGATATCCCCTACACACTCCACCCCCTGTGAACAAACTCATTGGTGGAACATGAAGGTGGACCCTGGGACCCAGACCTTGAGCTGTGTAAAGGGCTCCCCAAAAATGGAGCTGCTTCCCGTTCTCCCAGAACATTGATTTTTGTGACCACAGTTACAAGCCGCCTCCAGAGAGCCTGTTCTACACCAGACCAGTGGAGCCAGACTGCAGCTAGAGCCCGTCATCATCCTCATCTGGTTGTAAATAGGCAATCTAGTATATTATTCCTGGCACTAATCTCTAATTTACCTCACATTAAAGAAACACTATAGTCCCCAGAACCACTGCATCTTAATGTAGTGGTTCTGGTGTCTATAGTCTGTCCCTGCAGGCCTTTTAATGTAAAAACGGCAGCACTGCAGCACTGGCGTTAGATAACATGGCAAATCATATGGGTAGGGCATTGTGATGTCACATGGGGGGGCGGCAAACTTTACTTTTGCCTAGGGCGGCAAAAATCCTTGCACCGGCCCTGGCTGGAGGGGGCTGTGTGAGCTGTGGCTGCACAGTGCCCCATGGTAGTTAGGGTGCACGGAGGAAAAGTGGGGCGGAGCTAAGCAAAATCGGAGGTGGATCCAAACTGGCGCTGGGGGAGGGGGCAAGGGGGTGCCAAGCATAGGACCCGCCCCGGGTGCCAAATGCTCTAGGTACGCCCCTGGATGTAAGTATGTAATTGTGACTGCATGTATAACTTGGGTTCAAAATCTACACAGAAAAAATAGGAATTTTTGGGGGCACACCCAAAACATGCATTTCCAAGCAGTGGTGCTGCCGTAAAGACTAAACTCTATACAAAATACAGTTAAAGAAATAGCACACACACAAAAACAAAAACACAGTTTTACATTTTAAGGCTAGTTAAAATAATTTATTTTAGCAAACAAATATGGGGATTAATTTACACTACATGGCCACACTGTGAAAAGCCCACCACTACATCACAGTACCACAATATCGGTGAGTCCTACACTAAATTAAAAATGGAAGATTTATAATTTACCTTGCAATACTTACAGCTTCAATTGCTATCAGACACTCCTCAATTTATGCTTTGCTATGGTCACTTCCAAAGGGGCATCCATAGTGGATGGGTGGGGTGCTCAGTCCAATAGGAATCTGGTCTTGATTCCAAATCTACAC